TTTATTTACCAGATTGATGACTTATATGGGAATAAGTTGAAAGCTTGTAGTTAGCTCTATTTATCAAATTGATGACTTATATGGGAATAAGTTGAAAGCTTGTGGTTAGCTCTATTTATCAGATTGATGACTTATATAGGAATAAGTTGAAAGCTTGTAGTTAGTTTTATTTATCAAATTGATGACTTATATAGGAATAAGTTGAAAGCTTGTAGTTAGTTTTATTTATCAAATTGATGACTTATATAGGAATAAGTTGAAAGCTTGTAGTTAGTTTTATTTATCAAATTGATGACTTATATAGGAATAAGTTGAAAGCTTGTGGTTAGCTCTATTTATCAAATTGATGACTTATATGGGAATAAGTTGAAAGCTTGTAGTTAGCTCTATTTATCAGATTGATGACTTATATGGGAATAAGTTGAAAGCTTGTAGTTAGTTTTATATACCGGATTGATGACTTATATAGGAATAAGTTGAAAGCTTGTAGTTAGTTTTATTTATCAGATTGATGACTTATATGGGAATAAGTTGAAAGCTTGTAGTTAGTTTTATTTACCAGATTGATGACTTATATGGGAATAAGTTGAAAGCTTGTAGTTAGTTTTATTTACCGGATTGATGACTTATATGGGAATAAGTTGAAAGCTTGTAGTTAGTTTCATTTACCAGATTGATGACTTATATGGGAATAAGTTGAAAGCTTGTAGTTAGTTTTATTTACCAGATTGATGACTTATATGGGAATAAGTTGAAAGCTTGTAGTTAGTTCTATTTATCAAATTGATGACTTATGTGGGAATAAGTTGAAATTGAGATTCCAGTTAGCTCTATTCACCAGATTGGTGACTTATATGGAAATAATTTGAATTAAGCTTATAGTTAGCTCTACTTACCAGATTGATGATGTACCTGGAGATAAGTTAAAATAAGCTTGTAGTTATCTTTATTTAACAGATTGACGATATATCTGGGAATGAGTTAAAAATTAAACTTCAATTAGCTCTATTTTTTGATTTAATGGCTTATATAATATACAGATATAAAAATTACTTTCAAGTTGGACAGTTTGTCAAAATTATGAGTTACTTAAAAATTAGATAAAAAAGTAGTTTTTAAGTAGGTAAGGTTGTCAGTAGATGGCGTACTTGTGAAGTGGGTGTAAACATGACTTGTAGGTAACACCATTCCTCAGGATGGAGACAGCCTGTTTTTGGTTTCACATCAAACACAGAGCCAGATGGTTTGTTGATATGATCACTATCACCATAATGTGGTACTAAAATATTCTTAGGTTTCTGAAACAAAAAACGATTCTTCTAATCTAGATTATATTCTGTTGAAATCTCAAAAATCCATTTAAAAATTATCCTAAATTAAACCGATATATGAATATCTCAACACATCAAATTAAAAGTTGTCTATAGAACTTGAGAAATGTCCAAATAATTGGTTAAAGATATTAAACAATTATCCTAAATTAAACCAATATATCGATATCTCAACACATCAAATTGAACGTTGTCTATAGGACTTGAGAGATGTCCAAATAGTTGGTTAAAGATATTTAAAAATTTCCTAAATATCAACAGATCAGATCTACAAGTTACCTACAGGGTTATTAGAAATTAGTTACTTAAAGGTTTGTAGTAACATGACTAATGATAATAGTTACTTACAGGTTTGATGTAGTAATTACCTACATGACTTATGAACTAATTACTTACAGGTTTAAAGTTTTATTTACTTATGGAACTGACAAGCTAGTTATCTGAATGACTGATAAACTTTTTAACAAATATGATTAATCTTTTCTGGAGAAGTGAAAGTGAGACCCTGCTTAGCAAGCAGATACTTTACACAATTAAACTAATGCATCTGGAATACTACAAGCTTTAGTTTTCACCACACTGGTCATTAAGAATGTAATTTGGCTTGTAAAGCTCAGGATTCATTAATTGCTTTTTGACCTACAAGACTGATGTAGGTTTCAGCTGTTTGATTAGTTTATTAATATTTCCTTGTCTGAAGTATCAAAGATCTACACAATATCCAGACTTGTAGGACTTACTTACCTGGAAATGTTTCACTGCTTACCTTAATTCCTAATACAGAGATTACCTCAGATGACCATTCACATTTTATAGGCCCTGGGTTCTTTAAAAACAGCCACTTAACTTCACACAGACCACAGTAGAGAGGTCCAAAGTCCAACTGAAATGGGTTGACAGTTACAGCTGGCAAAGTCACAAAAGCTCTCATGTTGATGGTCAAAACTGGTCCACCTATTACCTGAGTAAACAAAACCCTGATGTAAATCTTATTATAATATAATCCAATTTATCTAATAACTTTGTTAACAAATTTTTTGATGGTCAAAACTGGTCCACCTACTGCCTGAGGAAAGAGAATCTTGATATAAATGTTTTTATAACAGAACCCAATTTATCTAATAAATGTTATCTGATAAAAGTTTTTATGAATTACAAAGAAAATCTTTGAAATTTATAAATATATTTTATACATGTGTTTTTTGCTGTGACCAGAAAGTAAAGGTTCAAATAAATATAAATGTTCATACCTCTAAATTCTTGTTATTAAAGTATTTAAAAGAATTTTAAGCTATCATTAGATTGCTTTTAATACAATCTTTTTCAAAATGATTTTATGTTTTTCTAAATGTTTCATTGTATACTTCTTTATTTACACTACATGATATATCAAAGTGTTAGTGTAAACTACTAAATCATCACAATCTATGTTCAGTCTGCAAATGTAGGTAAAAGTATTCAAAAAATTGTCCTTTAAATTCTGTGACACTAGTAAAATAAGGCAATTGGTTTTATACAAGACATACCAATTCTACAATATAATTTATTTAGTCTGTAAAGACAGGTAAAACTATTTTAAATTAACCAGAAAGTACTCTTTTTGTCTTGTACCTACAAGCAACCATATGAATGTGAAATATACATATATCAACATTAATTGTTCTATTTAGTAAAAATAGAAATATACATATATCAATATTAATTGTTCTATTTAGTAAAAATAGAAATATACATATATCAATATTAATTGTTCTATTTAGTAAACATACAAATATACATATATCAACATTAATTGTTCTATTTTTCAACATTTTTTGGCACATGTGTAATGTTCAATCTTAAAAACTAAAAACTTTTAAAAAACAACGAATATTTTATACACAATTCAATAAAAATAAGATTGTTTCCAGTCTCCAAATTACTAAAATAATAACTTAGTGTACAAGGTTAAAAAGTGGTAAAAAAACCCTGATGTGACTGGAAAACAATCTCATACACTACATGTTTCGACGTATATCTTGTGTCACCCTCAGGAGTGTAATGTTTTGAAAAAAATAACACTTATTTATACAATTATCAAAATACCAATTTACATATTAAAGAATTTCATGCCAACTGCTGACAACATTTTTGTGAATGTAAAAAAGTTTATATAGGACAAACTAGAAGAAATTTAAAATTCAGATTGAATGAATATAAAAGAAATGTTAAAAATAATAATATTACTATTTCACCTTTAGCAGAACATGTTAATGAAACTAATTACACAATTCAATGGGAAAAAAATTTTTATTTTAGCACAACCTGAAAATGTAATTGGTATGAATATACATGAATCTATTGAAATAACTAAATGTAAACAAACTAAATTTAAATTATTGAATAAGGATGATGGACCTGATGGAAATGTAGTGTTAAAACAGATACATCAAAAATACAAAAACTCTAACTAAAAATATCTAAGTTGTGTTTTTAAGATATTAATGACATCTCACTGTAACTGCCACAAGTAATGTATATTACTTACAACAAATTATTATAGTAGTCACAACTATTTGTTATTGCTCACCTGTAAGAACAAAGGTATTTTCTGTTCTCCTAAAAAGTTGGTACCTAAGTCTGAAAATAATTTTAAAATAAACTTGGTAGACCCAGGTTCCACCTGGATATCTTCAGGTTCAATGTATATTTGTGCTGTATTCCAGGTTGTGCCTGTGAGCTGAAGATTAGCTGTTACAGTGCCAAAGTTCATAACAGATATTTCTTTCTGTTGTAAACTACCTGCCAGCACATACCCAAGATCCAAAACATAGTCAGAGAGAGCAACGTCCTTCCTAAAACACAAACCATACTTATAATATGTGAGAATTGACAAATTGTCCATAACGTTTAAATTATTTAATGCTGAAAACCAACAAGGATTACACTTAAACAGCAGACGTTAGAACCCATTTTTTGTAACCTACAGCATACAAGACCACAGCAATGACTCTTGGCTTGTCTGCTTATCTGTGGGTCATCAGTTTTAGTGAAAGAAAGAATGAAATCTTGTGATAAGGATTTTGAAGATACAGTTCTACTTACATCACATGCACATATTAAATAGTCCCATTACCTACAGATAAATAAATATATACAATACATATGAATTATATATAATGAAAAAAATAATGAGTGAAAATTATTTGTATAATAGAGAAATTTTGATAACTGTAAAACTTTACTATTCAATCTTAACTTTGTGGGTCAAAGCAGAATTGTTATTGTTCCAAAACCTACCCAGCTGTTCATCTAATGTGTAAAATGTACTTTTGCTAATTGAAACAAATGTAATCTTCCATCTGTTTCTGAATGTAAAAATCTATCAAAAATTAATTTGAGTTCAGCCAATATCAAAACTATTATTCCACAATAATAAATATTTGTATAAAGGATTTTAAGTTTTTAATTCAGCAAAACTAGTGAATAACTGAGATATTACTGGCTTAGAAATGACCTAATATTTCACCAAAGTAAGAAACTCTTGCTGGACCAAAAGATATTCTATTGAACTTTAACATTCAAGGGATCAAACTGTAAATGTAAATTTAAACATTACTGGACAACTTTATAGTAAATAGGAAGTTTATCATAGAGAAACTATTTTAGAATAAAAATAAAATTTCTTAAATTTCTCTTGTCAGTATTATTGTATGTTTGAAATGGTGAACTGCTTGCACAATAACTTGGTTAGTTGTCAGGATTCATTTTTAGCATGTACATAATCAAATGCTTAGTTACTACTTTAATAGTATGCCTAAGTGATTAAGTCAAATGTTATAATTTTCCTACACTGAAAATATATTTCTGACAAGTACTTACTTCCACTGACATACATAGCTATTTTCATTCAATGTTGTCCTATATTTGCAAATTAGTTTTTTCACTCCCACATATCTCTCAGTTCACACAGTTTAACTGAATCCACGTGTGTGAGTACATAATGTCAATTGGTTCAACTCAACTGCCAGGAACTGACTTCCATGCAGGGGTTTAATGAGGAATCTCAATCATTTGGTTCACTCCAAGCTACATCATCTCCTCAGATAAGGGGAGGGGGGGGGAGATGTGGTGGAGAATTCAGAAAGTTCACTCCAAAGACAGTGCAATGGATGACCACGAAACCCTATTTTGAAAAGCAGCCCAAACCCGATTTATTCAATCCAAGGGATGGCAGTGATGGCTAATAATCCCCTTCTGCTTTACCCAAGAAGTCCATGGGTCAATACAGTTCAGAACGGGCATATTTATGAAGCAATCATATCGCGTGGAATAACCTACAAGCGATCTTGTGGAACACTCTGTCTCTAGCATATGTGATAGTAAAGAACAGTGTGTGTTTAGTGGTGATGGAAATTAAGAAAGTAAAGTCAACATAGCCTTACAGTGTGGACTTGAGTACAGTTCTAAGTGACTGAAGTATACCTGGATAGGCATCACTCTCACAGAGCGAAATCCAGATCAAAACATGTGACAGGCCTCTGAAACATTTACATAATTAAAGAAAGAAACTTACCAAGTTATAACCACATCGAAGCCTGAAGAATGGCAACATGTGGAAGATGATAACCCAATGAGGAAGAAACAGCAACACAATGTAGATAGTGAGAAATGAAATTATGCAGAGTGGTATACATGCTGGCTTGAAGAAGTTCCTCCAAAGGACAAAGCAGTTGAGATGCCAGGGAAAATGTAAGGTGCCTAATCTGATGGGAAGACATCCAAAATAATTGATGGGAAAAAGAAGACAAAGAAGAACAAGCCAATCGAATTAAAGGATGAACCCAATTGGAAAGGGTGGAAAGAGATAGATCACAAACAGAGAATAGTTGCCAAAGGATGAATAGGCAGTAATGATTATGATGGAAAGGTGTTGTGTGGGCAATTTAACAATGAAGAGCATGAAGTGGACATAGAGGTCTATCCAGATCAGATCTCGAATAGAGGTGGGAAATGGAAGGAAAGAAAATTAGCGAGAAGTAGGAATTACCCTCCTGATCAGCCAAATATCGATCCTAGTAAAGGAGAAGATAAGAGGAATGGTACAGAGTATGTGAAACATCAATGGCAAATTTGATCTATGATGTCCACAGGTGAAAAGGAGGAGGAAATACACCTTAAGGGATAAATGAAACATGGAACAAGAAGACAAAGGTTGAAAGAGATAAATCATAGTAGTGATTCACCACATTGACATCGCAATCTGAAAGAGCCACATGCTGTGGAGGTCAACTAGTCTGGAAGGAACATGACAAGAGCAATAAGGTATGGGAGGCAAAATCTTTTCATGGAAGAAAGTCGAACACAACGTGCCAACAAAGAAGCTACACGCCAAGGACCAGATAAAAAACAGGTATGAAAATGAAGGGTAGGGATGGTGGGATGAACTAGGTGGGACTGAGGTTTTTAGAAGAGATGGAATTCGGGGAAGAGGCAATGGTGAAGCAGATTGGATCTGGAGCAGCCGCAGAAACCATGGCTGGACCGGCCAGTAAGGAATAATGACAAAGACATGACACAAAGTAGAGTGGAAGAATAAAATAGTTTTAATTAAGAAAGGACTTGTATCGCTGAAGTTCCTCGGAAAGAATTTATACTGGAAATTAACAAATGAGCAGATACGTAACAATATCTTAAATTCAGTTCTTGTCTCGTTTCACTTTTTTATTTGTATTTTAGTCTCTCTTCTGGTAGGTTTACTTGTTCTGAGACTATACATTTCGTATTGTGTTCAAAGATTAGCTTTTGACACACTGAAAAGGAGTGAAGTGTTAAAATTTCAAATCTAAAAATACCAGAACACAGCAACTCATTTTTAACTTAGTGATACAGTACCTCTTTCTTAAGTGCTGATATTTAGTGATTAAAACTATGAGTTATTGTCTCTATTAGTAATTAGTCTCATTGGTTCTAATAATTCAGGTACACCCTAGACAATGGTAACTCTATACCCTAGCTTAAAGCTTACTTTAAAGTTTCTCTGATAACCTATAATGAAATTTCTTCCCCTATTAAATTGGAAATGTTTGCATTTTCTTCTTTGAGACTGAGTTGTCAAATGGTAGCATTAGACATTAGAATACTCCTAGAGTTTCAACCAATAGCATTAAACATTAGAATACTCAAACAGTTTTCAACCAATAGCAGTAGAAATTACAATTTGCAATCAAATCTTTTTAGACCATACATAACAATGGCATAATTAATTTAAAATACACAAACCCTATACAGCTGACCACATTAAGTTAAAGAATTCCATTCATAAATATTTGTTTTTCAGTTTTAGTATTTAATTATTTAAAATGTGTTGTTGGTTTTACAATACATACATATAGTGTAAGTACTGTTTTTAAAACATGTTGACTATTTATCAAATAAAAAAACGATACACACAAGAATTTAATGCAATCAAAAATTTTTCAAAAGGTAGTAGAAAGTAATTTTTCCATGCAATATTACAGTTTTACAAACAATCTATATCATATGAATACTATGAATTTTTGAATAAAATTTCAGCAGAAAGTTGTTTTGAATATGCCAGCAAAACACTCATTACAACTGATGTAACAAGAATTAAGGTTTTAAGGTATATATATATATAAAACTGAAAAATATCAACACATACCACAATTTCTGTGAAAAGTTCAAGTCACAAGAGGATCTATGTTGAAGATTGACTTCTTCATTTATGTTTTTCTCAGACATTTTTATTTTCTGATGCTCTATTAAAACTTCCAAGTCCTTTTGCCACCAGTCTTGATGCTGCTACAATGCAAAAAATTAGATCTCCAATTAAGAACATTTCTCGTCCATAAAACTATTTTATCATGCAATAAAAACTGCATGGTGAAGAGAAGCAAAATCATAAGATGCTCAATTTTGATGGGGCTTGTCCATACTGAGAATACTTTACACTGATTGAGTGAAACTGATTGAAAATCAACAGGTAAAATTGACTGAGAATTCAGATGGATATAAGAGGATCACCAAAGGTTGGTGTGATGTACTCACTATATAGTCAATCCAAAATTATATTTAATTATCACAGACAAATAATGAAAGGTGGTCAGACCTACCATACACCTTTCCTGATGGATAGAAGGTTCTCTTTCTCTCTGTAGGTCCAAAACCACCAGAGGAACAACCACCTTTCCATAAATAGAGACATAGTCTGCAACCAAATGGCCAACCTTTACCTACAGGAAGTTAACCACAAAACAGGCAATAAATTTAATTCATTTTGATAAGAAACTGGTAACCCTTCAATGTGTGTGTGTGTGTGTATATACGAGGCCTGTGAGAAAAGTATCCGACCTTTGGCCGGGGAATAAAAACTGGCATACCTGGAGCATTGGAAACCTAATCACCCTAAAAGTAGTCTCCTTGGGACTCCACACACTTCTCCCAGCGGTGCCGCCATTG